ATCATTGGATTAGATTTACAATCGTCAGATCTGAACATTTATAAACGCCACGAGACTTCTCACTAATTACGAAATTGCCACCTTGCAACTTTGCAACCATTAGATCATTAATTCATAAATTTGATCAATGAACATAAATTGGTTTTACAGGTCTCACGAAAAACCCTTGGTCTCACGTGAACCCAACCCTATATATATATATATCGAGAGAGGTTCAAGGGAAACCCCCAAAATAAATCAGAGGAGGGATACCCTTGTAACCATTCATCTGGATGGTATGCACATGTGCATACAAGTACTTGAAATTGATTCTTGGATTTTATGCACGTGTGTATAAATGTTATGCACTTGTGCGTTGCAGTCGAATTGCTTATCAATTACCTGTATGCACATGTGCATACCGCCTAGTTTTGTTCTTCAGTTTTTTATTATTTTGCGGTTTTTTCCTAAACTTTACCCTATATATAATATGACTAATAAACTATAGACAAATACAAATAAAATTTTATCGAAGTTATATGTTTTAGCGGCGGGTTGGGTTGGTTAGGCTTGACTAACTCAATTTCAACCCTTTTAATTGGCGGTTTAGGGTTTGACAGGTTGAACGGTTTTAACAGTTTTTTGTATACCTCCAACTGAGGATGGTGACTTCGACCGGTAAATGCTTACCAAAGTGTCCCTTACTTCTGAAAGTGAACAATTATTTTGGTATAAACTAAAATAAAAATAGAGGGAGTAGTATCTAACTTTGGAAGTTATTGAATTCCAATAAATTCTGGTTTACATTAAATATTCAATCCTCTAGTAAATCAAAATCTTTGTCATTTCCATGTACCCCATTTATGTGTTAATCCTCTTGGCTAGTTCGATAAGTCTTGTTTGGTTGTTTGAAATTCATTACCATCAGCTACAGAAGGTTATATGCAGACGAACCAGAACTCAACTTTCAGCCACTTCCTTATCAATTAGTTCACGTGATAGGATAGAACAAAACCTTATTTTAGGTTTGACATAACATTAGACCGGATTGATGAGAACTGATTAGGACAAAAATGCAAGTTTCCACTGAAATAGGTGGAACAAATTGGGGGAAATGAGACAAAATCGATAAGTTACTAATTAAAATCTAAAACGTTCTGCAGTTCTTTTACTTGCCATCTTGTTCCAATCACATTTTTTTACTTATAAGCGAATATCCATAAACACGAGGATCTTGTCAATATATTGAGTTTGAGATCATTTTGTACACAATAGTTTCCTATTCGTAATGTTTCCTTTATTCATAATAATTAATCAGAAATGTGAAGAAAAAAGAAGATAAAGAAAGGTATATATGTCAAAGGGGTACATAAGTTGGATTCTTTTGATTGGAATTCGAAAAAACTTCATGGATGCTTGGGAGTTGGATCCGGGTGAGTTTTGACACCATGGTAATCAATGTTGTAAACGTCGTCTTTACTTGTTGCATCAAATTCTTTCATGGTTGAACTTGCTTGCTTTCTAGATCTTTTTTGCTTGCCATCAACCTGTATCAACAATTGACATAATTGTTCTATACTCTATCTAGTTAGCAACAATTCAGGGCACGAAGGCCTCTCTACCCTTTTTGGAGTTGGGATAAGGATGTATACATCATCTTACCCTCCAGATTCTATCTTTGTATTGAGATATGTTTAGTTTGTTTGATTTATCTGACACATAGAAGGCACTACCATGGATGCAATGAGATCATCTTTAAACCATGATGGTTACCTTTTCTATTACCACACTTCAAAGTTATATTCCCTTATTGCACATCTTTGATCATAGAAGGAGGCTTCATTCGTCTAGAAACATACATAGTCTTTTACTGTAGTTATTGGATCGAGTGTAACCGTACTCGATCCAATCTTTTGACCACAGATATGGTCAAAAGTTATAGTTGTTTTGAATCATATGAAAATTTAATAATAAAAATTAGATTGTTGTTTGTGTTGTTGTTACCTTGTTAATATTGATAATCTGGTATGCTTCTCCTAATGTTGCCATGCTTCTCCTTCCTTAGGATTTAATGAGTGGATTTGGAGTTGAATGGGAGACAAAGTAGAGCTCTAGACTTGCAAACACAAAGAAGAAGCAGAAGAATAGTATAGCCTTAGAAACTAAAAGTCTCATTTTTTAGGATATTCTAACCTTAAAACATGATATGGGAAATAAGGTGAATATATAGGATAGGTGTCAGAATGTGAGGTTTGTTATATATATATATATATATATATATATATATATATATGTACTCATTTGTTAACCAGGTAATTAAATAGTATTAATTTTACAAACTCATTTTAATCGTATATTTTTTTATCAACAATTATTGTTAAATGAGAGGCTATAAAATGAAGAAACATGAGATAAATTAAATTAAATGGAAGGTAATTTTGGAACAAATTGTTTTTATTTTTGAAAGATAATCATCACCACTCTCTCCTCTTTTCCTCTTCAATTGCTCCATCGAACTCTGTATGTTAGGTTCAATGAGAATCCCATGATTTTAAAAATGAGAGAAGCAATCTCGACCACTAGTTTAAAATTTATGTTTCCAATTATTTTTTTCACTAGTTAAGATAATTATGAAAAAAAAGGAATATCCTAATTTATTTCTGATTTTTATATAACATTTTTTGGATATTGATAATCAACGATGTTTTATCCTATTTTTCACCTTGAAATCATTGACGATTTTATAATCTACAAATCGACTTAAATCTCGTTTGCCTAAATCTCATGTGTGAATATGAACAATGATGTTTTTCAATTATTCACATATGAACATGTGAATCCTAACATAGGTTCATATGTGAATTTTAATCATAACATGTTTGTATGTAAATCAATTTAATGACTTGGATTAGTGATTTAACTATACAAAAATTCCAAAATGCCCCCTCAACTTTCTTAGGTTCTTAAATTAGTCACAATTATTTCATATTTTACATATTTTTTTCTCTTATGATCTTGGCCATTAAAGAATCTCATATAATGATTTAGATCTCCTCACCTTCTCAAAATTTTGAGACTTCTCAATTGAACCTTTTCCTATATATATGTATATGGACCCATAAATGCAACAAATTTTCTTTTGAGTAATATCATATCTAAATATCTTTTTTATAAGTTGTTATAAAGGGTATTTCACGATAGTATCAAGGACGGACCTAATGGGAGCATACGGTGGTCGTGGAGTTGTTTCGTAGGGTAAAAGATATATGTTTTAAAGTGTGTTATTGTAATATTTTGTTATATACTCTTATATTCCTTAACTAAACTAATGACAGAACTTCAGAGGGTTAAGTTGGTTTAAGGTGCCAAGTTAAAATTTCCCTTTTTCAAAGTTACGAGTTGATCATGTCGTTTATAAAATTCACGTTTTTTAGCATTTAACATTGTGTTTTTGCAACTTTTATTTTTTAATGTTTTTGTGGAAAATAGTTATAAGAAGAATCAAATCAATGACATGTTTACCCTAATACTAACAACCAATCAATTTATCTATTATAATTTGGTAAAAATGATGTTTGTATACTTTATGAAAATATTTATGAGTGTGTCTCTAGATATTATGCAATTTTCATGGCTATGTAGAAGAGTCATTCAATTTTTAAATTTACGTCCTTAAAATATTTTTTTAGCAAGATATAATATTATTATATTAACTTTGTAGGATTTAGTTTAACTTGGGTTTTCAGGGATTTTGTTTAGAAGTTACCAAGACTCCTGTGATGATTGGTCGAGGAGTATGTAAGTTGATCTGAACATTCAAGATTAAAAGGTATTTTTTTTATTATTACGAAAAGTCTCAAGAAATAAATATTAATAGAATTATATTCTTTTGTGTGTTTATAAGATATTTCTATGTAATAAACATGGGTTTGTGACAATTTTTTTGACCGGCAAGAAGACATAATTGATGGTGCCAACAAAGTCGGCCATCATGTTCTATTGCACCAATGAAACCTCGTTCTACCGGTATCCTTTCTTTCATGTTACAAAAGTAGTAAATTACACTGTAGCTCCATGTGGTTTACTCAAAATAAGGATATAGTCCGTCTTTCAAAGTAAGTACACCCAAAAATTGATTTTTTATATGTTTAGAGTTTGTTATTATTTGAACCTTCGTTTGGGATTGAATTATGAAACCTAGTTGATTCAAGAGATGCTAGAAAATCCACGTCGACGATGTGATGGAGGAAGAATGAAGATGACATTGACTGGCTAGAATAGAGCAACTAAAGGGGGAAAGATGCGATGGTTAGGGAGGGAGAACGAAGCAGTGGTTGGAGTTGGGCGGTGCTCATGGAGTTGAGTGGTAGGGGTGTTCGTTGTCTGGATTGGATGGTTTAACTTCTCGGACCACAAACCAAATTGTAATGGCGGTTTATAAAATTTTCAAACCGAACGGTTCGATATTAAGTGTCTAAACCGGTCAAACCAGACCACGAAAAAGCGGTTTAGTCTGACCGGTTTATGCGGTTTGGGCCTTTAATAGACTTTAAAAATTAAACTTAAAAAAACATATATAATTTAGAATTTTAGATTATATCAATGTCAAATTTGTCGACTTGTTTACTGGTTCAGGGATTTTTAGGCATCGATTCATTTGGATTTGATTATGTTAGATGTTAGGCTTTATGTTGGGCTGAGGGATATATTTGGGCCATAGTCCATAAGTTAAAAAAGTTGGGCTTGCTAATACATATATATATATATATATATATATGTATAGGGCCCATTCAAGAAAGAACTGACTAGTTTGTGGTAACCTGAGATCCAATCTCAACTACAAATCAATAGATAAATTAGAAAATTTATAATTTTAGTAATTTTGAATTAAAACTTTATTGCAAGGACATTTTAGGTATTTTCACTCCGCTCTACTCTCTCCTCTCTCCTCTCTTCTCTCTCCGTCCTTCGGCCTATGCCACCATCCTCCGTCCTCCGGTGATACCACTGTGATACCTAAAAATATTAACTTTGTTAAACAAAAGATACAGTGTGATACCCAAACATATATAAGATGCATTGTGATACCACTGTGTTACATCTCCGATCGACCACACAAACGACCTCAGTGTGATACCCAAGCACATATATGATGCATTGTGATACCACTGTGGTATCACAGGAGGATGGTGGCCGGAGGACGGGGAGAGAAGAGAGAAGAGAGGAGAGTTTTAAAATACCTAAAATGTCATTGCATTAAAATTTTAATTCAAAATTATTAAAATTATAAATTTCCTAATTTATCTATTTTTTTGTGGTTGATATTGGATCTAACGGTTACCACAAACTAATTAATTCTCATTTGATTAGGACCATATATATATATATATATATATATATATATATATATATATATATATAT